TCTATCTATCTATCTATCTATCTATCTATCTATCTATCTATCTATCTATCTATCTATCTATCTATCTATCTATCTATCTATCTATCTATCTATCTGAGCTTGTTTAGAATGGTGAACCTCATCATAATAAAAGTAAAGACTAATGAGTGTACAGAGTTTGTCTCCTGCCATTAACGTTTGGCATTTCAGTAACATATAAATATAAAAACAAGCACTGATAGTTTATTCTGTGTGATTTGTGCAACTTTGATCTCTGTTAGTGATGTGGACAGCTGAGTCGACAGAAATCCACTCAGTCGAACCAAATTTCACGATGATGTATCTAAACGTTTCAGTCTGGACTGTTGCACCGACAGACTGGCTGGCATCGTTATTCCCAGAAACCACCGCGTGGCTTTGTGGCTGAAGATGTAAATGCCTCTTTTCACTACAGGATCCGACATGTTTTCTTTTTCTTTGTCAGTTGAAGATCCAGATCCAACAGCAAAGCCAGGAAATTTCTGTTGGGGTAGATGGCTCTTTTCTGGATCAGCTTCTGCAAAGCCTGTTTGAGTGGGAGATGATGGTAGATCATGAGGTATGCCAAAACCAAGGTCGATGACCGGCTCATTCCCATGATGCAGTGCACCAGAACTTTCCCTGAAGAACAGGCAAGATGAAGGGAGGGATGTGAAGAAAGGATTAGCGAGAAGCCTCAGACTTATTAATATCATACATGACTGCCCGTCTCACGCTGTGGTCTTTCTTTTTCCCTGCTGCGAGCTAAAAATAGTGCCTACAATTCACTCTTTGTTCATTTAAGGTCCCTTTGCAGACTGGGCCCAACTGTCTCCTTAATCCCAACCCGTCCGCTGCTTGATAGCTTCTTTGAAAAGAGCCATGGTCACATTATATACCTAAATTCTGCAAGGTAAGACTCTTATTATTACAGCTGGCTGAAAATACACTTAAAGCTGTCTTACATTGTGCTGACAGGTGACATTGAAAGGACAGCGTGGTGGGAGAATTTGAGTGGAATGAGTGGGTTTACTGTAATAAGGATTTGCAGAGTTAAATAAAAGATGTGATATACAGGGATTTGAGAAAGGAAAACTGTAGCACTTGTAATACTATATTAAAAGCCTCAAGGAGTCTTACCATCAGGTGACTTCAGAGCTTTGTGAATGAAATCGGCTGCAGGCTGAAAGTAAACATCCAGATCAAAGTGTGTCGAGTCATCTGCTGGAATGCCACAATACACAAAGTCGTTGCCATAAAAGCTTTGGTTCCCTATGCTGCCTCGCTTGGAGTGAGCAGCGTTTAATACATGAGTTATACCTAATTTCAGCAAGGCAGCCTTGTTTTGGGCTACTGCCCTAGCAAGACAAAGAGACAGAAAGAGGTTCAAGACTTATGGGAACTCTACGCATCACAGCACAATGATTTTTATGCCAGAATGAAACAATACGTGGAAGCAGTTATGTCAAAGAAAACAGCCTTTGCAAGGCAACCGAATCATCTGAAATAAAAGTACATACTTACACATTTCCTATGTATATGTTCGGCCACACTTCGTCAATTTGATTGAGGTGCAGCTTGCAAGAGTCCAAAAGCTTCTGCAAATCCTTCACACTTAGATATTCTTTTCTCTTGCTTCTCAGCGCTGACATTTTAAAATCCAAATCCCTTGTCTTGGATCGATCACTGGTCCAAATGTTTGTTGTTTTAAAGCGGTTCCCCGTCTTTCTCCGGCTCAAGATGATGTGTACGAGCAGGTGTTTATCTGCTATCACTGGACAGTTACCCAATTTAGTACATAACCTAGCGTGTAGTCTTACTCGTGCAGAGGGCAGAACAACAAACACTGCAGCCGGGGCTTGTACTTTTCACACCACGGCGCGACTGAGATTTAATAAGCCTCAAACAGATGAATCATGCCATAAACGAGCAATAACTAAATGTAATTATGGGCAAAATGTTTAAGTGAAGTGATTATGCTGTGTGACAGAAAGTCCAGTGTAATTTGGCAGTTATAGAAGAGAAAGAGGGTAACAGCTTCATGCAGCTAGTTTACGCTCTGACGCAAATATCATGTGAAAGCAAAGTGGAAATTGAAAAAAAAAGAGAGAGAAAAGAGCTTTGCTGTGGGCTGTTCATGACATTAAACAGCCTCTCATACTGTGCAAATGTCTATTTTAACTCCTCTATTATGTTGCAGGTCAATTTCACCCATTTTAGCTTTAAAAAACTAATTAACTTCTCCCTCGCACCATGAAATGTAATGACTTTTCTTCATTCGGAGTCATGAATGTGTATGTAAAATGTGGGTGCAGTGGCGTGTTGTTGAATACCAGTACCAATGTTGGATGCAGAATCAGTCAATAAATGTCTCCGGGTCATTTTTAACCTGGAGACGGTTATTGATTGATAATTCAAAGTGCTGCTTCTCCTTGTTGAAGACTCTAGAGTGGTGTGAAAATGTGGGGGGGAATGCAGCTGAATATGTATGTGAAACTTTAAGAATGTGATCCATAAATGCTAGAGAAAGAGTAGTTTGACAAGCATGGTGCGATTGTGCGTTTGTTCCCCTTTGAGCTTTCTGGTTGAGAAGCTCTTTTACAACCATTTTAAGAATAGTTATTCTCTACAAGAGACACTTAAGAATGAGCTCCAGACAATTTACCAGACACTAAGAATTAGCTTTTGTTCTCGAGAACAGCGGTAATGTAGAGGGAGATGTTTCTGAGCCGTTGGTGATTCAGGATTTCTGTGAAGAGGATTCTTCTTGCTAAGAGACCATTGAAATCAAAAGACTGTCAGGCTGCATAGTCACTTTCGTCGGAGGAAACCCAAAGCACATTGTCACATTCCAAAGACCTGTGTTATCTGAAAAAGTTCCCCAGCCTGCTAGGTTTTGATGCACACAGCCATCACCAGCGGGGATGGAGGGAGCCCATTATACCTGAGACTCGGAGGCAAGGTTGAATCTTTATTTATTTTTTTTCTCTCTTCTAATGTGCAAAAAAGTTAGGTGTGCAAAATTCTGAACAGATTTCCCCATTATCAGCTGCAAGGAATGTGATACATGCTGAAGAGACACGTGAAGGCTGCTGTGCTTTGTCTCGTTAATAAGATAATGAAACCGCCACCACTTGCTGGAAATGCCAGAAAATAAAACCTTGATCCTTGGTTTTAAGATGTGTTTTTTTTAATGTGATAACAATGGAAATTCAACTGCTAAAATCTCTTGTGAGGTTTTCCAGGATGCATTTAACCAGGGTCCTTTCATCATGTGTCCACATATGCCCTTGACAGGGATGCCATGTAGGAAAATGTGCCATTAGCAAAGGATTTAGTGTTCCTTTTTTGTCTTGTCCTTTGACATTTTGCATCACTTTGACTTGCTAATCTTAACAGTGTTTTTGTTTATTTATCATTCCTTAGCTAGCTTAGCAAGTCAGGAGTGTGGCAACAGACCAACATAATGTCTGTGCAGTGGCTCTTTGACCTTCTAGTGGCAATAAAAGTGAAGCTATCCTTATTAGCTGAATCCTCATGTTGGTGTTGTTTCTACATCATCATAACAGTGTTGGTTAAGGATCAACATTGTCTGCACATTCAGTTAGCATAAGCCAAGAAGTTGCTAATGCTGTTAAAAACTGTTACTAGCAAACCAACATGAGTAACCGAAAGCAAAGTTACCCTTATTAGCTGAAAGGTTTCACTTTCTAAAATAAAACCTGTTGTTGTTTCTATAGATGATTGTCCAGACTGAAAATTCAGTTAGCATTTTAACATCATTAGCGAAGAAGTTAGCTAATGCTGTTAAAAAATGTTGCTAGCAAACCAACATGAGTAACCTAAATTTGCCGGGAAACATATATACCTATACATATATTATATAAATTAAACACTTGGACGGCTTACCATTTGATTCAGGAGTGACTTTTATATTATTAAAAAATCACCATGACCATCTTATATAATGTTTTACTTTTATAGTATTCCATTTCTGCCAACAAATAATGATTATGATTTATTTTATTAGTATAATTATTAGTGGAACTGATTAAAACAATCAGCTGGAGATTTGAAGACAGAATCAACAACTTTAAATGAAGAACACATTCAAAGATAGAGTATAGACAGGATCAAAGAGCCTCATGATGATCAAGTTCATCACCTTGGTCCAATATTTGCTACAGTCACGAATGTCTCATCTGTAGATAACAGGTGATAATGTTAATCTGTTGTTTACAGGTACTTAGTCATGAAGCACCACTTGAGAAGAACTGTGGATTTGACCTGATGACATTAGTTCATGAGAGTCAACAATAAAAAGTTCCTGAGGGGATCACAGTGTCTGGACAAATTTCGGTTCAATTCATCCAATAATTTTTGGAGACATTTTACCCCAAATCACAATTGTGGTAACAAAATAAAATTTAGGACATCTGCAAAAGAACTGCTAATATACTGATAAAAAAAAAGGCTTCCATGGTGTACTGGTTATGTTGTTTCAAAATAAAAGTTTTATGTAAGTTTTTGTACTTACCAAGTACCCCCCCCCCCAAAAAAAACTAAATAAATAAATAAAAATGAATAGGTTTAAAATGAAAACACACTGCAGATTAATTTCACCTGCAGCACATTGGATAAAAGCTTCTTCAACACAACACTAAGGTTAAATAAAAACAATATCTCATATTCAGTCCCTTAAATTGATTCTGCCCAGAGGAGAGTTCATTACATTGATCTCCTATTAAGACGCGGGTCGATATTATATAGAGATGCCGCATAATTCACATCAAACACAGCGCCAGAGTTGTGGGGGAAATACATTTGATTAGATTCCATTCCTGAAACAAACTGATTAAAGTCAAAGCACAGCATTTCCTTCAACTGACACAGTCATCAAGTCTCTCATTTGTCTGGAGAAAAAGCTGTTTTGAGGTTATGTGCATTAGAAGATCTTTATTTTTTGAAGCGGTCATGAAGTCTTTTGCAGTTTCATATCCAAAGCACGAAGCTGTTTAAGGAATCCTCTGTTTGGGAAGATCCACCTGCGCTCTTTGACCTTATTGATTGCATCTAGGAGCGTGTAATTGTGGTGGATCATTAGGTAGGCCAGGACGATGGAGGCAGACCTGCTCACGCCAACAGCACAGTGGACGAGAACTCGAGCTGGAGAGGAAGGAGAAGAAAAATATCACGGTGAGCATAAAGCATGTGGTCGATAAGGGATGAGACGAGTGAGAGGTCGGCGGAGGCTGACATTAAACATGATGGGTATTTACCACTTGTCGTGTCAAGTGCGTTATGAATATACTCAGCAGAGGGAAAGAAATATCGAGAGAGGTCAAAAGACGGTGAGTCATCTGCAGGCACTCCATAATAATCCACGGTGGATCCATAGAAGTAGTGACTCCCCTGACAGTGCGTCTTCCCATGAGCTGCATTCACAACATGGGTGATTCCCAGCTTCCACAGGCTGTAGCGATCATTAGCTACTGACCTACAAAGAAAAAAGCAATCAGTCTTTCTAACTGGTAATTGATCTAGGCTGATTATGTTGTATAAGCCATCAAGAGCAATTTTAAAGACTTACATATCTCCAATGAACAGGTTAGGCCAAACTTCATCAACATGATTACCAAACCTTTTACCTCCATACAAAATCTTCTCAAGGTCTTTCACAGAAGGAGAGGCAGGAGAAGCTGCACTATTTTCCTGCAGATTGTTCATTGTTGACCACATGCATATCCCTATGTATGATTTATTCTCTCAACATTTATTTTCAAACTGTTAAACCTTCACTGAGACCACGGTGGCAGCCACAGACAAGGACAGGTGTTGCTGTTCTAAAATTAAAACAGTGACCTACCTTACTCTGAATGTAGGCCAGCTTTACATCTCTAAATGTTTTTTTAAAGTACATTTTATGTCAACTCATAATTTCTAATTTTATCAGTTGCAAAAATACATATAGTTGTGGTCAGAAGTTTACACTCATCATGCTCATTATTGTCATTGTCCTTTTGGGTTTTGAATGATTTATTTAAAGTGTTCTTTTTTCACGGTGGAATGATTGTACAGCATGCATTTTAATTTATTAAAAAAACGAGAATTGAGGACACATGTTTGAATCTATTTTGGATATTATCTAATCCACAGAGGGCCACATGTATAGAAACTGGCTCAAATATATAAATACACCCCAACTAATTTTGGTTTAACGTCTCCTAGCAAATAACCACAACTCTATTTAATGTTTTTGGTCATACCATTTCACACGTAAGAACGGTGTAGTACCACCTGTTCACCATAGAGTGTCACTGTTTCACTGTTGTTCCGAGTTTTCTTTTAGCGTGCGCCGCTATTCTGGACATTACCGCCTTGTGTTGTCAACAGGACTCCTAGCTAGCGCAAAGCCTGGGCGTAATGATGTCCAGCAAACTCGTGTCACTAAAGCAAATGCTAATAAGGTTTCTTCTGATTCTTGTGAGATGTCACTTCGTTAGTTAGCCGGAGAGATATATTCTGTGTCATCTTCTGTTACATCTCAGAGCTGGTGAGTGACCGCAAAGCACACGCATTGATTGAGCTAGCACCAGTGAGCTAGCAGTCTTTAGTATTAAGCTGAGTTAGCCCCGTGGGCAGGGGTGCATGTGGATGCTTTCATGTTTATCTCTGGCGTATTTGTCTTTACATACTAATAGGCCAGATAGTTGCCTGACAAAATACTGAGATAAGTTAACTTCGGAGTATACAAAGAGCTTCTAAGCCCGATTTAAATGCTAGCCAGTGATATATTTAAATGGGTTAATTATATGGGTTATTGCAGGTCGACTGTAGTTGCTGGACTGTTTATTTAAAATATTTTATCAAAAAAACACAGAAACGTGTTGCTTTCTTGTCAGTCCAAGGAGCAGACTGTTGAGGCAGCGTTTATTTCGGTTAATAATGAAGTTAGAAATAGTCATAATGTCTTTTAATGTGACTAGGACAATAATACCTTGGGATTTAATTGACTGTTTGGCCTGGGATAACATGTAGCTGCTCCTTCACTTACATTGTAGGGTGTGGTTTCCATTGTGCCTTAGGAAATCCTTGCCAGTACTTGCGTCATATAACTGCATAAGTTGTGATTACCCAGATTTCCTGTGTAACTCAGGATTTGTCTTAAATTTGTTTATCACCTATAATTTTGTCACAAAATGGATGTATTTTCTGTCTGCGCAGCAGTCTTGCATAGTGTCTTTAAAGTTACTACTGCTGATTCAGAGCAAATAAACTGTGCCTTAAGCTAATCCTGAATATTATTTTTGCATGGTGTTTTGGAAGCCAATAAGGAACTGATACTGCTGAACTTAAATGTGGCTGTTCTTCTTTTTAGCCTTTGGTGTCAGGAGGAAATGACCCAGCTGAGTGTCCGTCGTTGGACACCTAAGCATGTTGCCAAGTGGTTGAAGGAAGAGGGCTTCTGCGACTATGTGGACCTGCTGTGCAACAAGCACCGGCTGGATGGCACCAGTCTGCTCGCCCTCAGTGAGTACGACCTCCGCTCGCCGCCTCTGGAGCTCAAGGTGCTGGGGGACATCAAGCGGCTAATGGTCTCCATTCGGAAACTTCAGAAACAGAACATTGATTTATTGGAGGAGCTGGGTCTTCCCTATGATGGCCACTCTCCCACCGGTTCCGGAGGCAGTTTGGACTGGTTGTGTAACGGAGACCCGGGGAGAGACTGCGACAGCACTGACACAGCACCAGTGGGAGAGGAGTATCACCAGTACACTAATGGAAAGTACAAGCAGCAGATGCGGCGCCTCGATCCCGAGTACTGGAAGACGGTGCTTAGCTCTGTCTATGTGGTGTTCGTGTTTGGGTTTACATCCTTCGTCATGGTCATCGTGCACGAGAGGGTCCCTGACATGCGCACATACCCTCCGCTCCCAGATATTTTTCTAGACAGGTGGGTGTGATCGCTCACAAGAGCTTTCTTAAATTTTCTTACAACTTTCTTACAACTTACAACAAAAACGTTAATCACCTCTGAAATTCCACAAATGATGATGTTTGAGTATCACACCAAATCGCTGACATTATAACTGCCCTAATTCCTTATAGCGTGTTTCTATTATTGTCCTCATATACTCCTGATGTGCTCGCTGAGGTTCAAAAAGACCTTCGAGGATTGTTTATAAGGTGACCTACTTTTGTTTATGACCAGCTTTGGGCTTTTCATGAAATGAAAACTTACCAGGAGAGATTATTTCAAGGAATTTCCAGTGTGTGTTTGGCAAGACACTGAGGCAAATTATTCAGGCTAGTTAATTATCTCCAAAAGAGATATCTTGGGAGATAACATCTATATGCATTGAAATGATTTATTAAAACTAATATACCAAAACACCAAACTAATTTTTCTGTCATGTTTGTTGTAAGATGTTAAGCAACATCAGCTATAAATGCTCACTTTCAATCTGTTATTTCAGCACTGATGTTGTCCTTTTCCGCAGTGTGCCTAGAATACCCTGGGCATTCGCCATGGCCGAGGCATGTGGAGTGATCCTCTGTAACATCTGGATGCTGGTTCTGCTGCTCCATAAACACAGGTCAGTAGGTGCTCTGAATGATCCCAGGAGCCTGTCAGTAGCACAGGAAACTCACATTTGACTACTTCTAGGTCCATTCTCTTGCGGCGGATGTGCAGCCTCATGGGGACGGTGTTCATGCTGCGCTGTATCACCATGTTTGTCACTTCCCTGTCTGTTCCAGGACAGCACCTGCAGTGTTCAGGAAAGGTAACGCATCTTTTTTTCTCTTTTTCTCATGTATCAGATCTCTTTGCAAGATTAGAGTATTGCCTGTTTCCTTCTAGATGTACGGCGACATGTGGGCCAAACTACAGCGAGCTGTGGCCATCTGGAGCGGTTTTGGGATGACACTGACAGGGGTTCACACATGTGGCGACTACATGTTCAGTGGCCACACTGTGGTCCTTACCATGCTCAACTTCTTTGTCACAGAATGTGAGTAGCTTCTGTTTCTGTTTTCTGTGAGGAGGAAAACACACTTGTGCTAAGATGAGATGAAAAGGCCTTGGAATAACTTGGAATTATAATTGGAAAATGAGCAATGATTTCAAAACTAATCCCTAAAACCCCTCATTTTGTAAGTAAATAAACATTTTAGACATTAACTAACACATGTGAGAGAATTTGTATGTTTCCAGGTTAATGTATTCCAAACCATATTAGTCCATTAGCCAACAGCTAACTGATCTAATTTATTTGAAGAGTTTCAGTCAGGTGTCAGAACTCATCACAGTACACAATAAGGCATAAATGAAGGTCACAAATGATCTTCTTATGGCTTCTGACAGTGAACTTATTTCTGTGCTTATCCTGCTAAATGTCAGTGCAGTTTTCGATACTACCGACAGCAATATTTTATTACAGCGATTACACCATGCTAGAGGAATTAAAAATGCTGCATTGCAGTGGTTGGACTCATATCTACCTAATAGACACCAATTTGTTCATGTAAAATGGGGAATCTTCTTCATGCAATAAGGTAAATTATGGAGTTCCACAGGGCTTTGTGCTGGGGCCAATTCTATTTACATTATACATGCTTCCCTTAGGCAGTATCATTCGAAGCATAACATACATTTTTGTTGCTGTGCAGTTGATGCCCAGCTTTATTTATCCACAAAGCCAGATATGACACACCACTTAGTTAAACTTAAGGAATGTCTTACAGACATAAAGACCTGGGTGACCTCAAATTTCTTGCTTCTAAATTCAGATAAAACTGAGGTTATTGAACTTGGCCCTTACCTTCTATAAATCCTGTTAAACATGCTGTCATATTAGATGCTTGCTCTGGGTGGCAGTACCTTGGCCAACAGTAACACTGTGTGGAAACTTGGGAGTCAGGTTTACCATGATATGACCTTAAATGTGCATATATGTTCAAGGAATGCATAGGACGGGTGAATTGGTCCTATATAATTAAAACTTGATTTAAAAAAAAATATTGTTGCTTTATTAATTTCAATCCAAGTCTAAAGAGCACTATTATTATGTACACAGTACAATAAACCCTATAGTGGTAGTAAATGATAAAGCAGACATAGATTAGCCATATTTGGAGAAGGTGTCCCTATGTTGCCACCCAGTGTCCGCTACTGGTACTGCAAGTATTTCTTGAAAATTAATAATAAACCTATTATAGTTGTTTCCATTGAAATATTTTTAGTCTTTGATTCTGCTAGAGAAACTTTGTATGATTCATCCTCAGTTCCAGTGTCTGTAGCAAGCCATTTCAGCTCCTCCTCCTGTAGAGCCACCCTTCTTTCTTTCTGATTTAAACAAAAAGCTTGAATAGCAGGTAGGAGTGGCTGAGAGCTTTGTGCCTGAGACGAGCCACAAGCAGAAAAAATATTTTTACATTAAATATGTGAATGAAAATAACTTTAACAGACTTAACAATGTGCCACATTTTAGAATGGAATCACATAAAGTGCTCAGTAACGCTCTTCCGTCTTTGATTTACACAGACACTCCAAGAAGTTGGAATTTTATCCACACTTTGTCCTGGGTGCTCAACCTCTTCGGCATCTTCTTCATCCTGGCTGCGCATGAACACTACTCCATTGACGTGTTCATAGCCTTCTACATCACTACCAGACTCTTCCTGTACTACCACACCCTAGCTAACACTCGGGCCTACCAGCAGAG